CAAGCGCAAAGAGTGATGGATGAAGTGCATGGCAGCATGTGTAGAAGCCATATCGGAGGACGAGCACTAGTATACAAAGTTGCGAGGGCAGGCTACTTTTGGCCGACTCTGAGAAACGACTGCGTCAATTGGGTTCAAAAGTGTGATGGATGTCAAAGGCACGCAACTCTGCACCACTCCCTAGCTGAACGACTCCACTCGATCTTGTCTCTTTGGCCATTCAACAAGTGGGGTATTGACATTCTCGGTCCATTTTTGATTGCGGTGAGACAGTTAAAATTCTTGATAGTGGCTGTAGACAACTCAGGCATTTATTACGTAGTTGTTTTTTGCAGGGGGTTACATAATTACGCTGCCACGTGGCAATGAAACTTAATTGCATTTAATGTGTGGGACCTCTTCACTAGTAGTCGTATCGTCTCTCGTGTGAAAGGACGCGAAATGCCGCGTTTCATTCACGGCTTCTCGCGTACGCCTCCTTGCCCTTATAAATAGACATACCTTACGAATCTTTTTCCATTTCTCTGTCCTTTCCTTCTCCCTTTGTGCTCCGCATCCTCCTCCGTGATTCTTCGAGGCTCATTGGGATTCTCTGGTGGCACGCGGCGGTCTATGGCGGCGCTTCAAAGTTTATTTGAGTGGGAGGTTGTTGTGTGTCCCTAAGTACGTCCATCTAAACCATTTGGCCATTTTATTTGTAGTAAAGCCTGAGTTGTTATTTAAGTTAGGTTTATTCTTATCATGGCGGTCGTGAACTATGGGGAAATGTACAAGTGGGTGAGAGATGATGTTTTGCGTTGTGAGTCCTTGATAAGTTCCTGGGATGCCATGGAAAGTTTCTGTAGAGAGCACGTGGTGTGTGGTGAGGGCGACCATATAATTATTTGCGAACCCTGTGTAGATAGGGAACCTGTGTGTATTGAGGGGAGTTCGACGGAGAATTTTACCTTTTGCTACTGCACTTTAATTTCCAAGTTGAAGGTGAGGTGGCCTCTTACTAGTTGTGAGAAAGGAGTGCTTCAAGCCTTAGATGTGGCCCCTACTCAATTCCACCCCAATAGCTGGGCTTTTGTCCGAGGGTTTGAGGTTCTATGTCTGAGAATCCAGTATCTAACCTGGTTGGCGAATGTGGTCATGGTGCACAAGAGTAGCGGGAAATGGAGAACGTGTACGGATTTCATCGACCTGAATAAGGCCTGCCCAAAGGACTCGTACCTGTTGCCAAACATAGACTGCCTGGTGGATGGAGCGTCGGGATACGAGTTGCTGAGCTTTATGGATGCTTACTCGGGATACAACCAACTCCGAATGCATCCAACAAACGAGGACAAGACAACCTTCATAGCAGATCAAGCCAATTTCTACTACAGGGTTATGCCGTTCGGTCTAAAGAACGCGGGGGCAACTTATCAGCGACTGATGGACAAGGTTCTCATGAATCAACTAGGTCGGAATGTGGAAGCTTATGTGGACGACATGGTGGTGAAGTCAGAAAGCGTCAATCGGCATTTTGACGACTTGCAGGAGTTGTTCGACACTATCGGCAAGTACCAGCTCAAATTGAATCTCGAAAAGTGCTCTTTCGGGGTCCAAGCGGGAAAATTTCTCGATTTTCTACTGACTCATTGTGGCATTGAAGCAAACCCTGACAAGTGCTCGACCATCATCAACATGAGGAGTCCATCCACGGTGAAGGAAGTACAACAACTTGCGGGAAGAATGGCTTCGCTGTCTCGTTTTCTGTCCAGGTCAGCCAATAAGGCGTTACCGCTTTTCCAATGTCTGAAGAAGAATGATCGTTTCGCTTGGACGACCGAGTGTGAAGAAGCTTTCACGGAACTCAAGAGATCACTGGCATCGCCGCCGATTCTGACAAAACCACGATTGAACCTCCCTTTGTTGGTTTACATATCGGCATCCGACCGAGCAGTTAGTTTGGTTCTTGTACAAGAACAGAAAGGTTCACAAGTTCCTATTTACTTCGTGAGCAGGGTCTTACAAGGAGTAGAGACGAGGTACCAGAAGATTGAAAAGCTAGCCCTCGCAATACTAGTTATCGCGAGGAAGCTGAGGCACTATTTTCAGAGCTACGAGGTGGTGATCCGAACTGACCATCTAATTCGCCAAGTCCTACAGAAACCCAATCTGGCAGGTAGAATGATGAAGTGGTCGGTCAAGCTATCAGAATTCTCCATCAAGTATGAGCCGAGAGGAGCGATCAAAGCTCAAGCATTAGCCGACTTCCTGATGGAGTTAACCCCTCCGGTTGAGGAGGGCACAGTCGGAGAAACCCAATGGATCCTATCAGTGGATGGTGCTTCGAATCTAGGAGAAAGTGGAGCTGGAATTGTCTTGGAAGGCCCGGGGGAATACTACTAGAGCAGTCATTACGATTTGAGTTCCGGGCAAGCAACAACCAAGCCGAGTACAAGGAATTGTTAGCAGGGATGAGCAAGTTGTCATTGGGAACCCTATTAGGTCGAACTACGTTCTAATGAAAAACTCCATTCCCCCCGGGATTTTCCATTTCATTCAGGTTTGCACTCATGGCTCTCAAAGGTGGCCCGTCACCCAATTTATCCCCTATTTTGTTTATTAACTCGTACAAAGGAGTCATTATGTTATGCATTTGGGTTGACAACAGGTTGACCATGTCATGATTACTATGCTCCATCTGTTGTCGAAGAGCCATCATAGCTTGGTTGCTAATACCCGTAGGTACGTAACTACCTGGTCGAATCAGAGAACCTTCCTGACTTGTTCCTACGTGTTGATATGGGTCTTGCATAACGAAACCCATGCCATTTGGTCCAGGATTATATCCCTGTGGGGATACGTGCATTTATGGATTTGGTCCTAAGAAAGGCACTGGCATTTCGACATGCACTGGTTAGGTATTTCGCCAATTCTGTGGCATACCCCAGGGGTATTCCCTAGTGACATTTGCTAGTTCCTGAGTAACATTTGTTTGCCTAGCTGTATTTTCGAGCAACACAGGGGAAGATGCTGCCCCCCTGGTCACATTAGTCACATTATCAGGGTGCTCCACATCTACGTGATTATTATTGTTCGTGTTGGTATCTCTCTGATTATTAGATGTAGACATAGTTCTTCCACTCCTGAGTCTCATGCAACACACATACCTAAAACTAGTCCAATTATGTTTGACTTAAACAAGTCCCACCGGGCGTGCCAATTTGTTTACGATGAAATTCGTTCGTGGACCCTTTATATTCGAACTAGCACATAAATGGTTTCAATTTAGGTATTTAATTTAAGAACAGAACATGGAGTAGGCAGATTTAGTGATTACTTGTTTCTAGATATTCCTCGATAATTAACAAGTAATAATTCGCATGCACATAAATGCTAAAATGAACAGAATGAATAATGGATATATTCGCAATACAAAACATGGTTCAAATTACATACTGTCCAAGAGTTACAATTAATGCACTACAACTATGTGATTAGGAAAAAATAAAGAAAGAAACCTAGACTACAACTACTCCTAGAACAAGAAAAGAAATGTGGTCGAGAAGTGATCATACCCAAAGATAATTCCTCGCATGGAAGTCATGTGTGCAGGCAGAGAGTGCTTGAGAATTCAGTTCAAATGAGTTTTTCCGACCTCCGTGAAGGCGTACAACTCTCATATTTATAGAGTTTAATCATGAGCAGTAAGTTTCATGAGGAACGTTGTGGGTGAGTATAACCGCTATCCACTACCTACGTGGATTCACAAGATAACTTCTCATAACCGTTCTTTCGCGAGGTTCAAAAGATAACTTCTCATAACCGTTTTTCCGCGAGTTCTTCCTCTTCGACCACCTTTTAGCATAACCATCTCACTATCCGAGTACGTCTTTGTTTAATCTGCACTATTCTATTTTTCGACCTTAAACCTTACAGGTAAGTGATGTCGCCATTATAAGATATTTTTTGAGCAAGTTCAAACATTATTTTCGAGTCATACAGTTTTCGAGTGACCCCAACACAGGCCAAATTCTTTCACTCCCATGAGATCCTTTTTTTTTTTTTTTTGCTTTGTTCAAGTTGTCGGAGACAGTAAGAAGTTAATAAAACTGCTAAGAGAGACAACAGTTACTCATGAGACCAGTTACTTCTGAAGCATTTGTCTCGACACCAACCGCTGTTCTCTCATGTGCTGCTCCGAATATTACAATAACCATTGTCCCCGCAAAAGCAACCATGTAGTGTCGGCAGTAATCATTCTCTTGTCTTTGCTTTTGATAACTGACCATGAAATCCAAAATTCCATTCAAAAACCTGTAAACTTTTGATTTGATATTCATTATACTTACGGCATAATGGGGATAGGTTATATGAAAACAATAGTGTGCTATGAACTAGGCGTCGACAATGACAAAGACAGCACATGCTACGTCATTAGTTTGACGATTCTCGTTTTAAAAGGCATTCACTACAACAAATTTCCTATAGCAAAAGAAGGGATCATCCCAACTCCGACCACCTCACTTTGGGCCAACATAATGCAGCTATTTGCACCTTCAATAAAATTTGCCAATGTCATGAACCAGTTTTCGCCAGTTGTTTTCAAGCCGAAATTTGCTAGGCGCCTTGAAGACTTAGAAAATGTCACAAATCTTTCATTCAAATCTAGTGTTCGTTTGGTTTACTCCCATTATCAATTTCACACGACACATTTCGGTGTAAAATTTGTAACTGAAAACAGTAATCACATACAAAAATTTAAAATCAATTTATCAAAACTTTTTTACTAAAATTTATTACAAACCAAAACATAACTATAAACATTGGTTCTAAATAAATAACTAAAGTAAACTACTATTATCGACCTAATCATAAAAGAATTAAAATAGTTTTTTCAAAGATCCTAAATACAAACAATGTCCCAGTCATTGTAATTCCTATAAGAAAATAAAATAAAATAAAAACAACCATCCATATAAAAAGTTGGAAAAGGATAGCAATCACTTGCCGTCGCAACCAAGAAATGAAATGGTTTCATCTCATTTTGCAACATAACCAGTCACGTCAAATTACAATTTGAAAACACCCAAGTAGTTCTTTTAAATACACCAACATTTGATAACTAAGAGACAGGACCAGACGTCATGTCACAAACAAATTAACTATACATTTAATTATATGATTTTTATTTCCGCTTTGATTGCTTCGACTTTTTAGAGGATCTGCCAGTCTCCAGCTTTCTCCTTGCAGCTTCGAACTCCTCTTCAGAGGGTTCTGACGTATCACCTCCACCATATTTTGATACTAGAGATGAGAACAATGAATCAAACTGGCCTTTCCTCGCATTTTGGCGTTGTGCTATGATTGCACCCAGATCAGTTTCTGACTTCTTTTTTGACCTGCAGAAAAAAATGGAATGAATGAATCATACCTAAATTACAGCATAAAAGTATCTAGCAAAACCCTGCTTCTTCTACCTACTTTTCCCTCCTCCTCAAAGGACTTGTGGGCGGTTTGGTTTCAGATACATCCTTAGCCCATTTCTGATAGGCTTTGTTTGCCTTCAGTTCTCCTATAGAATATGGATAAAAGAAAATAAATAATCATTATCAAAGAAAAGGTTTACTAAACCAAGAATATAACGGACTTTTCCATGACTACTCATATTAACATGCTGATTCACATTGCTAAATCTTAAAAGTAAAATAAGTGCATGATCTCCAGTTTCCTAATTGATCTGTATTCCTGCAGAGAAAACTACAGTAAATGTTTGACAGTCTGACTGAAACCTTGGTTAAAAAAACCTTGTAAGTATTCTTACCAGAAGCTATAGCCTCATCAAGAATATCTTTGAATCGGTGTGAATCAAGTTTAGGATCTGAACAAAGCATTGAACAAAAAAGCCTGCAAAGGGAGATTGCTCCTGATATCAAACTCAACCTTTCAAATATGGCTCATGCGCATCACAAATTCACAGTGCCTTATTACCTATTCATATTACCCTTGCACTTCTTGTACAAATCAATCAAATCATTTTTCTGAGTCAGAACCCCTGTAGTTCGCTTCAAACTCCTCAATATCAGCTTCACTGACCTGCAGCTCGTTTTATGTACCACGTAAATAAAGAGCATATCACAATGCATCAAAAAACGGAATAGAATACATTAAAACAAGTACCTTCTTGTACATTGTTCTGAAGAACTCTTGAAGATTCTGAACAACATCTCCAGCAAGGTCCTGATTTTCAGGGGGAAAAAAACATAAATGAGTTGTAAATGTCCAAGACAATGCTAAAGTATCCTGAATGCAACTCTTCAAGCATTTAACATTTATTTTAATTAATTATAAGCATTTAGTAGAGAAAATCAAATGCTTGTTGACCAGTGTCTTTTTTTTCCTAATGCATTGTTAACCAAGCATCTTTAAAATCTTATTAGAGAACCCAAAAAAATATTATATGAGGATACTTTCCTCCAATAACTGTAATAGAATATAAGCATTCCAACTCTAATTTTTTTTCATCCCTTAATTTTTACACTCCCCTTATGGCTTACACCCAACTCAATCTCTTTTTTTCTTCCTCACTAGTCATTACATCTATCACTTCCTCTGTTCCTTTCTTATTTCTCTCTTCCCTCCAAGGTGTATACACCCCCATAGGGTGTGAAAGAACCATTTTTGAAAGAATTTACTTTGTATCTGGTCACTACCAAATACGAATTCAATGTATTATGCTCCATCGATTCATCAACAAGATCAAATGTCTTGTCCTGCTAAATAAGATCAACTAAATGGATCAAACAACACAATTAGGACACTATTTGGAGGAAAAACTGTAAGAACTTATAAAAGAAGAAAGTAAAATGAATTTAACTTCTCTTATAAGTTTAAATCAATTTATGCACTAACTTATATAAAATTTCTTTCATCTAACTTCCTCAACAGCTGCGGTGCTTAAGTTATACTTATGGAAGAAGTTCAATTCACTTTATCTTCTTATTTTCTTTACCTCTATAGGTGTTTATGGAAATCCCAATTCACCTGCAGCAGCACATGGAAAAATAAAAACAAAAATGCAACACTCACAGCATCGTCAACACAACCAGTCTGATCATACAGCGCCCGCTTCTCTTCATCCCCGAGAATCGATATCACTTTTTGCAGCTGCTGAAATTTCTCTTTAGCTCCCTGCAACACCTCAAAAAAGTTACAAAAGTGCCAAAACCTAAAACCCAGTGAAGAAAAACAACGATGGCATATGAAGCTTAAATTATCACCTCATCACCAGGGTTCTTATCAGGATGAAGCCGCAACGCCAACTTGTGGTACGCCTTCTTTATCTCGTGCTGAGACGCCGTTCTCTCCACACCAAGAACCTACAACCAACGACTCGATCAAAATCCAACAAAGTGACACATCACAGCAACAACATACGAATGAAATGATCGATAATCGAAGGAAACAGAGAGAAAAGCGCGAATTTAGGGTACCTGGTAGAGGCTGGTTTGATCGTGCTGCACTTCCATTTCTTCGTCGTCGGAAACCCTAGCTTTCTTCTTCTGCGCCATTTTTGTTATGCTCAAACAAAGTGATTCCAAAACTCGTTCGGTGGGTTTGCGCGTCGTGCTTGTTTTAAATCAAAATCAAAAAATCTGCGCTTAAAATTAAATTGAAATTATTATTTGAAGAAAAAGTTGGGGTTGTTCCCGCCATGTGATTCCCGCTTTACCCTTTTTCCCGCCATGTCACATTTTACCACAATCAAGTCTTCACGTTCATGTCTTTATGTCATGGTTTGAGTTTTTTATTTAAATTTTATTTATTCAAATCTGCATTTTTTTATGTTTGAATTAAAGAAAAAATAACGAAAATTAGCCTACAAAACGAAATGGCATTATAAAAAATACACTTTGTAATTCTTTTTTTAGAAAAAAAAAGTAGTTAGTAATAATTTTTTGAATAAATGTAGTTATAAGTATTTTTTGAAAAAAAAAATGATTGAGAGAAATAATAGTTTAAAAGGTAGTTATAAGAATAAAATTGTCCAAAAAATATATATACCAAATGAGATGAATTTCATGTATTAATGGTATAAATAAATATGCAATATTTTCTAGCATTGTGTTTTAGGAAATTGATTTAAGGAGGAATAAAGAGGAAAGGGAAGAAGTATTTGAGAATTTAAAAAAAAAATGTGTTTGAAATGGGGGATTTAAGTAAATTTAAATGTATATTGTGATGCAGCCCAACAAAATTAAATTTTGCTCAGTTTTAACCAAATTTATATGAAATTCTTTCACGAAAAACACGAGATTATTTTTACACGTATATTGCAAAAAAATAAATACACATAATCAATTATAGAACCTTTGATTTTAAATCTTAATCGAATATGGTATCACAACCATATGGCATATTCAATTAAGGTCTAAAAGAGACCCATAACTGATTACAAATAATATACATGACTACAATTTCAATTTTGTATATATATAACTTAAAAATTAAAATATGATTTATTTTTAAATTAATTTTTAATTATATAAATAGTTACATTATTTTAATAGAATAAATAAGAAATTTAATTTAAGTTATATATAATTTATTATGATTATTATTAATTTCGATTATGATATATATCAAATCGATAATGAAATCAATTATAATCGAATTTTTTTTATTTGTCCCTGGAATATCCATCACCGACAGTAATAACTAATAAAATCTTAATTATATATCATATTTAAATCTTAAGTTCTTATATAATAAGGATATTATTTTAAAAAAAATTAACTGACAAAATTGATTATGTTAAGTAACATAATAAATTATGTTATACTAAAAAAGTAATGGAGATATATGTTTAAAAATAGTTACTAAAGGCTTTAAAATATAAATTTTTAAATTATTTTTTATATAAATATTTAATTATTATATAATATTATTTTTTCTTTATTTTTATTTAATTTTACTCTATTAAATAATTGAAATTTTTACTCTATTTTTCTATTAAATCATTTCTCATCTATTATTTTTCATTTTCCCCCTTCCAAACCAAACAAGGATATTTTAAAAAACATTTGAAATATAAAATGGAGAAGGAAGGGTGAATTTTTTGAGCATGATGAGGATAGTTAATTTCTTTTTCTATGTTTTTTTTTTTAAGAAAAAACATTTGGACTGTACTTGTCAAAAATGAGATTTATTTTTTACATAGTTGAAAAGTTTAGATAAATATTTATTACTTGCACTTTTTACATATACGGTAAAATCGATCTATTTTTTTTCATGAAAAACTAAAACTCGATGTAAGCAATTTAATTACGGTGACAACTTTATTTTAACAGCCGCTTAAGAAATTCCATATTACTCAAAGTATTCCATTGAATTTTTTTCTTTCATTGTATAAAGAGGAGACTACTAAATATTAGGACATTTAAAAAAATAGATCACTTATGAATAATAAAAGAAAATCATATAAGTTTAGTGCATAGTATAGGATGTGCGAAATAGTTTTTTTTTTTGTTGATCTATGTTTCTGGAACTTTAAATTATGATGAAAACTAAAATAAACTGGGTACATCAGACGCACATTATTTCACTACTTTCTTTTAAAAATGAATGATTATTATCATTGTTATTTTCTTAGTTATATAAAAAATAAAAGGAATTGAGGTTTTGCATCTTACCAATACAATATTTTTATTTTGGGATGTTTGAATTGTGGTAATTTAATAATGTTACACTTAAAATAAATATATATATATATATATAGTTCAATTATTATTAAAAGGATAAATTGAATCGTAACATCTTATTATTATGAATTTTAATGATGAACATCTATGTTATAACAATTTGATGATCATTGATCATTGATTAGTAAAATTTAACACAACTGACAGAGTAAAATTTTGATAAATGATATCTTCAAACATAAAATTAAAAATAAAAATAATGTGACAGGTTTGACATATTTAAATAATAGTCACATAACATGTAAAAAAGATATTCACAATATAATATATAATAAAATATAATATATAATTAAATTGTTTATCTTAGAACGATGCAACCACACCTAAAAAAAATTTTTAAAAAAATGATGGATGTCTATATCATGAAAACTTGATGATCATTGATCATGAATCAATAAGATTTAACACATTTGACAAAGTAAAATTCTAATAACATGATATGTTTAAGCACAAAAAATATAATACGATAAATTTGACATATATGGATTAGGGATGGCAACGGGATAACCCCAAGCGTGTGGTTCAGCGATAGGAGTTGATCCACGCTTAAGTAAAGTTAGGGGTTCGAATCCTGCCTTGTGTATACAATCGCGTTAAATTTTGGGGCCAGCTATCCCACCCTTTGAGGTGTCTCCAACGTAGCCAACGTAGCGAGGAGATTAGTCACGTCTATCGGAAGTGAATACTTTAGGAACGAACCCAAAAAAAGGGATGGCAATGGGATGGGTCGAGTACGAGTTTTATAATATCCGTCCCTGTTCCTGCGAGTCAAACTCATCCTCTCGTTGAGTATATGATTTTCATCCTCATCCTCATTCTTGTCGGGTATCGGGTATACCCGTACCCGTCAATTTTTTATTTTTTTGAAAAAAAATATGCTATTTTTAATTTTTTTTTATTATAATAATTATAATTAGGTTATTTCTCTATCTCATATTATAATAAATAATCACATATAAAAAAATATTAAAATTCTTTAATATAATTAAATTAAAAGTAGGTATTAAATTAAAAAAAGGAACAAAAACCGGTACGGGTATAGGTATGAGGCGGGTAAGTACATACTCGTACTCGTACCCGGTTTAATATATCGGGTTTTACCCGTACCCATACCCGGTCAAACCGGGTATTATCCGTCAACGTCGGGACAGATTCGAGTATTACCCGCAGATACGGATATATTTGTCATCCCTAATATGGATAATACTCACGTGACTTATAAGAAAATATTCATGATGTAATAAATAACTAAATTGATTATCTTAAAATGGTGCAACGATACTTAAATCACCGGTTTTTGAACTAAGGAAAAATCATCCAATATTATTTTTGATGACCTTCTACTTTTCTCATGTCTATGTTTACCTTCACTATTACTCTACCAAATATATCATTGATATGATATTCACCATTTATATGGAATATTAGATCCTAATTATATCTAATAAGTTCTTATATAAAAGCATGAAATAATCGTTCACCCTTTCTTAGACTTTGTTTTATAGAATCATTCAAATAATTGAATAATGTAATATTATCTTAATAATTAATAATTATACATATGAATTCTTACACAATTTCAATGGTCATAAAATAGTAATTATTTTTTTTAATTAATGTCATAACATAAAATAAAGGTTACACATTTTGATCCACCTTACCACTAAATCTCCAAAACCAAGTTAGAGCAAGCTAGCATGGGGGATTAAAAGTTTTGTCAACACCATTTAAGAGTGGATTGACAAATTGATCCGCATGAAGAGAAAAAGAGAGAAAGAATAGAACATTTAAGTTTACAATAATGACATTTTGATATTCATGCATCAACATAAATTCACATATTCACATATCAACTGCAAAGTGGGCATTCAATTTCAAGACCAACAACATAAAGTATTAATGGTCCTTAAAAAAAACACAAAGTACTAATTAATATAAATAAATAAAAAATGGTAGGTTACCACTCTAATATTAAAATAAAATGCACTAATAAGTAATGAAGTATCAACATTTTTTTACTTATGTGAATTTTCAAAATATTAAATAAAACAATTGTATTGCTAAATTTGCTACCATATAAAAAAATATCAAATAAATTCTTATTTTGTTTTAAACTTAATCTACTAACTTTTTAAAAAACTTATTGTCTTGTTTAAATAAAAAAAATTATCCAATAACTTTTTTCACAATTTACTAACTAAAATTGACATTTAATATATCTTTTGATCCGCTTTCATGAAAACATATTTTATTTTATATTGGTCATAAACAAATTAAAAAAAAAATAATATTTTTTTTTGGTAAATAATACATTAATATAATACAATTAAATACTTTTGTACTAATATTCATGCTTATAACTAAAATATTAATAATTTTTTATTTATTTAAGTATGACTGCAATTAAAAATATTCAATTAAAATGATTATAATTTATTTCGTTATCACACGAAATGCGAATATTAGTTTAATCAATATGAGACGTTTTTTTTCCAAACTTTTGAAGTACATATAAAACATATAGCATAAAATAAAAAATGAGGAAACTATTTAAAGTTTTGCCCGATAAAAAAATTCAAAAGAATGAAAAGACTAGTACATCTAAATAGGCCCAAATCATTGTATGAGTACAGCGGAGAGAGCTTATTTTTTTGGTCCAGGTACATCGTACTGTGGTACTACCTCAATCATGCTAATGATATATACGGATCCGGATTCTCTGATTTTTGGAAAATAAAGTTATGGTAACTTAATACATCTCAACCGTTAAATGTATAAAAATAAATCAGATTGTGACACGTGTACAATATATATTTTAACTTAAATGTACACGTGTCACAATCTGATCATTTATTACAAATCTAACGGTTGAAATATATTAAGTTACCCTAACTTTCCCTCCACAGAGTCGAGA